GAAAAAAAAAATAAAAGCAAGAAGACCTTAAAAGGCTTATTGGCTCTTTTAACAAAAACAACAACAACAATAACAAAAACTACTGCCCATAACATGCATAATTTGATTTTTTATAATACATAATTTAAAAACTTAACAAATTAAAATTTATATTTAAATTTGACTTATTTACTTAACAAATTGATCTTGAACAAATTTTTATCAAGTGATCATAAATCGAGTTCGAATAATTTGATTTGTTTAACAGCCTACACATGTTAAGATACAAATTCATCAATAAAATTATTATAATTTTTTTTGAAATCAAAGTTTAATTTGAATTAGTATTTTTAAAATACAAATTTACAAAAATAATGTGTCTGGAATAAGTTTAAAATTATTTGAGTTAGAAAAATATGTTTTAAATAAAATTACGTAAATTTGGAAAAAAGCACTAAAAATTAGTAGGAATCAAAATTGCCACAATGAGGACATCTTCAACGGTTTATCAAATATTTCATGAAATTTGTATAAAAAAAAAGTATGAATTCCTCTATCAGTCATTCCATATCAGCCACTCCAGTCAGTCATCTGGCCGGCCAACCGATAAGAGAAAAAAAAAAAAAAAAAATTTCCACTAACCTGTTGATAGTCAAGAGCAAATGAAATAAATTTGTCTTTCTCTCCCCTCTCAATCTTGATTTCTATCTCTGTATTTCTATATTGCTCTCCATACATACATATATATATATATATATATACATGTTTTGTCAATTTCTATGAGTTTTTGTTGATGGGACTCTAAATGGGTTCTCTTGAAAGTGGCTTTTCGTTGAAAAGAGATCAAACTCCACTTTGCTCATCTTTATCATCAGTGAATAAGAATGAGAGAAACCCATTTGATCAAAGACCCAGGTTGAGATTCGTTAGGCTATTCTTGTTCAAGAAGATTGATTATCTTCAATGGATTTGCACAGTTGTTGTGTTCTTCTTTCTTGTTCTCTTTCGTATGTTCTTGCTTGGTTTAGTGATTGAAAAATTGAAGAATTCATGGCGAGGAGGAGAGGAATTAGCTTATGGGGATTTGAAGTTGTAGAAGGAGATTGGTGGGTTAAATTTTGGAGAAGATGAGTTTGAACCATCAAAGCTTTTGGCTAAATTTCAAAAAGAGTCTAATGAGGTAAATTTTTCTTCTGTTTCAATAAGAAAAGTGAGATTTGGGTATAGAAAATCCCAGCTTGCTTTCGTGAGTAGTGATACTTGGTACCAATTTTATGTTTTTCTTGTTGTTTCATGTTCTGATTGGAAATTATTTCTGATGTTTGTGCGATAAATGCCTTTGGAAGATCAGACAGATGTACACAGAGAGAGAGAGAGAGAGACTGCAAGGAACAACGAAAAGGCAGCGACAGATTTGCTTCGGAAGCAAACAGCTTTGGAAGCCTGTTGACTAGGGGTGGGCGCGGGTCGGTTGCGGCCACGGAACCTCTAATCTGCCATCCGTCCGCCAGATTGGCGGATTGAAGAAAATCAATCCGCATCCGTCCGCCAATCCGGCAGATGTAGATTGAGCGGATTGGCGGTTTGGCGGATGGATGCGAATCGGTTTGGCGGTTTAAAATTTTATAAATTTTCAACATAATTCAACTTGTGCACTTCCTCAAACGAAAAAAGAAAAAAAAGAAAAAGAAAGTATTACAGTCAATGACTTAAAAAAATATTACAATCACTGTATGCCTTATCCAAAGAAAAAAAGTTTGAAACTTTAGAATATCATGATCACTGCATGCCTCATCCACATATTACAATCACAGTATGATTCATCCCCATAAAGTATTACAATCTGTGATTCTTAAAATATAATAACAATTCAAATCACCAAAACCATGAACAGAGCAGTAGTAGAGATTGAATGTCTCTGTATTGTTACATCTACATATGTTTTTGAAAACAAAAACCAACCAGCATATATCATATTTTCTATTTATTATTTTTAGAGTTAAATTTAAAAACTAAAAAATATATATGAATAATACGTTTTCTTTTTAAATGAATTTCTATCTTGATTTCCCTTTGAAATCAGATATGGCAACTCCTCGTCGTATAGCACATAGGACTTAATTATGGACACTACAATACACGAGTATGTGAATTTTGCAACCTGAAGCTCTTTGAACTTCTGGAGCTGTTTCCAGTTATTTCAAGCAGTTAGACTGCAATTGGATCATGAATTTGGGTAAGCATTAATAGGGGAAAGGAAAAGGGAAGGCGGATCGGTTTGGCTCGGTCGGTTTTGGCGGATCGGTATATCCGCTGCTCACCCCTACTGTTGACAGTCCAAACCATTACTCTGTTTTGGGAATTGTTCAAGTAACAGGATGATTGGGGGACAATTGGCCGGTGGTTCTGTGTGTACCATCCGCAACGGTCTTACACAGTGTTCTAGTAAAAGGTGTCCAGATTTTTAGTTTGGTGAAACATTTATTATTTTCTCAATATGATACAGGTTTGATGAAATCATTGAAGCACAAACAGAATCAGTGTGTTTGGTTTGAGTTTTCTGAATTAAATTTTTTAAAAATTGACTTTTTTGATTTTCGTATTTTTTTGTTTTTAGTGAATATTTTTTAAATTTTAAATATTTTTTTTATTTTATTAGATGCACCTTACTTAGATGTATCTAAAAAATAAAAAATTTGTGAAAAAATATTTAAAAAAATTAATAAATGCATAAAAATATAAAAAATGTACTGAATTCTTATATTTTTTTTATATTTTTGGTATTTAGTAAATTTTTAAAAGATTTTTTTTACAATTTTTTTACTTTTAAGTGTGTTTATGTTAGATGTGTCTAAAAAGTAAAAAAATTCTTAAAATATTAAAAAAATTCAGTAAAAACAAAAAAACACAGAAAATAAGAAAGTATAATTTTTTAAAAAGTGTTTTTTGAAAAGTGAAAACAAACAAGGTGAATATTTTTTTACCAAATTTGAATTTGATAATAGATTTGGTGCAGCGTTGGAAATAGCCTGACTACTAAGGATTGTTTTGTGAAGTTAATAAAAAGTCAACTTTTGATATTTTTTTTTTTAAAAAAACATACAAAAAAAATAAAGAGATAATACAAGTCAAAATAAGTCAAAAATTAAAAAGTAACTTTTAACCCTTTACTTTAAAAAAAGGCCTAAAAGTGCCCATACACCACTATTACAATGTTATACCATCTCCAAAATCTTACCTTAGGGGTTGTTTGGATATTCTAAATAAGTACATTTTTTGACTTTTTGAAATAAAAAATTGAGAAAAATATGATTGTTTGAGATAATTTTTTGTCTTTTTTTGAAAAAATGTGCACTAAAATATTGGCCTAATTTGGTAGAGCTGTGAAAAAGTGATTATAACTTATAGTTTAACAGCTTATAGCTTATAACTGTAAACATAAGCTAATCTTTGACTTATAAATTAAGCTTCTCATCTCCCCCTCAAAGAATAAGTTAATTTTTGACTTACAAAAAGTTATAAATTGTATTATTAAGCTAAACTAAACACAACAAAATAACTTAAATTAAACTAAAAATAAGCCCTACCAAACAGGGTTATTGTATAAAATGACAAAATTACATTTTTACCCTTACATGACAAAATCATCAGTGACAAGCAACAAACGAAAGTATGGCTGGGTTGAAAGGTACATGAGGCTTCACGGGTACTATTCGGCCGTGGGGCCCACCAAAGATTCCGTTTCGATAATCTAAACCGTTGAATGTGTAGAACTCGTTGAGTACTATATGCCTATGAAAAATCACTTTAACCGGATATCGATAGCTATGTGATCAAAACAGTTTTGTCTGAAATTAATGGACGGTGAAAAATAAACAGTTGAAAAAAAATCTGATTTGATCACATAACTATCCATATCCGATCAACGTGATTTTTTACAGGCATATAGTACTCAATAAGTTTTACACATTGAATGGTTTGAATTATCAAAAACGAACCCATGGTTAGCCCCCATGAGCCCAACATTACCCTCTAACTTGATAAATATATACATCTATTTTTTTTTTTTTTTTTGATTCATTTGAACAGACCAATAAGTACTGAACCATCAATCAATACCAACGCTGTCAAGTCATTGTTTGTATTAAAATATTATGGAAATCAATTTTTTTATATATTTAATTTGTGAATAGTGATAATTTTTTAATTTTTTTAATAACTTTTTGACTTTCTGAATTTTTCTAGATATGCTAAACCAGGCCTAAATAGTGGAAATATTAAAAACTATTTATCAAATAAAATACAAATGTGAAACAAACCTTATATATAGAGGCCACGTGTTATTTTTTCTATGTAGTTAGACTTTCTCCAAAAATAAAATTTTACTTATTTCTTTCCATTTTCTTTAAATGAAGTCTTTATGAAAATGGTTACCATGCCACAAACATTTTTTCCGCTTTGTTCTGGTAGTTTGACCAGAGAATCAGCCCATTCCCATTTGTTTTGTTTTGTTGTGGGATTTGACCTGTTACTTCTTTCTCTTCTTCTCGAGTAAATTACACTGATCCAAGAAGTAAAATCTATAATTTTAACTTACAGTAATTTTTTTAAAAAAAAATTAATTCAGACAATATTTAACCTATTTTCATCAATAATACAGAAACAGACAAATTCAAACATAGAATCACGCCTAGTAAAAACGTACATCATCTACCAAACCACAACATATAAATAAAGCAACTATCGTGAGGCCATGGGTAATTAAACTTGAATGATTTATTAGACCCATTTTCAGAATTTACTTTAGGCAAAGAATTATTCAAATTAAAAAAAAAAAAAACCCAAATTTGTTGAAATTATGGAATAAGATCGAATTCAATATAATGGAAACTTTTACACTACAAACAATTTCCTACTTGTTGAAATTATGGAATAAGATCGAATTCAATATAATGGAAACTTTTACACTACAAACAATTTCCTACTGTCAGTGTCATTCAAATTAAAAAAAAAAACCCAAATTTGTTGAAATTATGGAATAAGATCGAATTCAATATAATGGAAACTTTTACACTACAAACAATTTCCTACTGTCAGTGTCGAGCCTTTCACCATGAAAATTTTCATACAAGAGGAAAAAAAGATGTTGGAATGATGGGGTTGGTGCTATGCAATCATTCTCTCTCAAACAGGTAAATAACAGAGCTTTTGTATTCTAGAGAGATCAAAACTTGTTTAGGCTAATATTGGTGGTTACTCAAAAGAGATCAGGTGTGTCAAGTCAAGATTATAACTATATTAACTACCATGCTTACCATCAATCAAACTTTTGTCAAGACTGAGACTAGCCAACTTTAGCCTAAGGGGTCTAGTACCCATCAGGATCCCATTCCAGGGCTTCTTCAAGCAGATCTGTGGTTTGGCACGTTTGCAATTCAGTTTCTCTGTAGTCCTTTCGGCCCTTGGAACGCTGTAACCTGCAGGGAAAAACTGAAAATACTCAGGATGGACAACTATTGAAAAAGAACTTCATTGTATCTTTCAATTTATATGTTTCCGGGTAAGTGTTAAGGCATCATGGTAATGGCGTATTGCATGGCAAACATCTAACCCATCTGAACAATGACAACAGCATAGCAGTAACTGATGATAATCTTTACAAATGTGTCAAACACACAAAAATAGTAAGGCATTTTAAGTACAGGGATCAAATGTCCGCTAAAATATTGCCTAAGAACTCATGTTTCAGCTTCACAAACTTGATGCAAAAACTTATCCTCAGTCAAGCGCTAAGGCATCCTACAGTTCTCATGACTAGTGTTTTCAACCAAAGGTAAATAAGATCTCAAATTTCCACGTTAAACAAGTGGGCAAAGGGGTCAACAGGTCACAAATATATCATTCAGGTATCACAGCAAAGGGATCATTTGATGGGCCCAATCCTTTCGATGCCGCATCAGCAATAGGTACATATATTACATACCATTTGAAAAAAGAAAAACAAAAAGAGAAAAGAAAGAGAGAGAGACTAGTAAATGATAGTTGAGGCACCACAAATGGTAAGGGACACGCTACTCAGCAAAGATAACAAGGTATGAACTTCATTGTACAGAAACCAAGATTTCAACCTAAGAGTTCCCAATCTCTTGTATTTTCAATGGTATAATTATCGATGATGAATACTCTTTAGCTGACAAAATCCCCAATAACTAAACCATCCCGTAATTCCCCAAAAATTCACCAGTTTAAGCTATCTAAGGACATCTCCAATAGTGCATTAATTTTTTCACCAAATTTGAGTAAAAACTCTCTTTGATATCAAGTACTCCAATGGAGGGTTTTGCGGTATCGTCAAACCACCGGTCGACCGGGCTGATGTCCGGCCAGTGCAAATTTTTCACAATTTTTCTTTTTGAGGTGGTCATCCAGGGGTCGACCGGGCAGACGACCGGCTAGTGTAATTTTTTCACAAACTTTTGCCTTGAGGTGGTCATTCGGGAGGACATCCGAGGGACATCCGGTGGTGAAAATCCAATGGCAATGAACAATGATTTGATGAAATGCACATTGATTTTTAGTTTGATAAAAGAAAATTGAAATCCTGAATTTGATACCAATTTGATGAAACCGTTGGAACTGAAAAAGGAACCATTTTTCATCAAATTCAAATTTGATGATATGTTTGATACACGGTTGGAGATGGTCTAAGGGAGTGCTAGTCTTATACTAAAAGATGGTAATCAACTTCTACAACTTGTAAATCAAACTAATACAGAAATACTAACATTTCCAACTTTTATTACAGAACAGGGCATTAATAATATCAAAGACAAACTGGAAAAATCCAAGGCAGCATTAGGCAGACACATAAATGTATAAGCATCCTTGTCAAACAATAGCACTGTAGACCAATATTCCTATATTATACAACGATAGGCATATTATGTTTCAACAGTGAAGCACATGATTCGACAAATCAAACTTGTGCTTCAAACTTTTGCTCAATCTTTTATTTATATATACAAGTATGAATTTGTATTCAAAGGTTGCCAAGGGGGCATTACCCTGCACACTGAAGGGATCAAAACGAAAATTATCACAAGGCAACAAAACAAACTTCAGTTCAATCTTACCATGATAATAACCGATATGCCATTGACTAATAATGTAAAGAACTTACAACTGATCCATTCACTTCCAGAGAATGGACCTATTCTATCATTCAATTAACAAACATATCTTTCAAGGCATAATATTCTCAAATTTTATTGCTAAAGAAATAAGATAACTCTACCATGACATTGTTTCTATTCTATGGTATTTTTATGAGGTTTTTCTATAGTATAGAACAGCATTCATGGCATGAAATAGTGGGTTATTGCCTTGAAATAAGCACAGCCTATTCAGTAGATATTTTCCTACCAAACTTCCATCCCTCCCTTGTATCTTCTAACTTGATTCCCACGTACTACCACAGTTTATATTTTCTTTAATTACGACAAAAGGAAATTGGGGAAGGCATAGGCAAAAACTTAGCAATATTAATTACGGGTCATTGAATCCATGTACTAAAGAAAGAACAAACAAGTTTCTTTACGTTAAAAAGATATATGCCATAACTTTCATAGAAAGGGCTCAGAGACAAAAGAACCAAATATGCATACATAGCACATCAAGTTTAGCACTGCATTAGGTTTAGCACCAGAAAAGAGTCCACTATTTATGTCAACCAACAGTAAGCAACTCAGGAGGAAGCGAGGCCGGATCAAGTTCCCAACAATCTTTTGAAAGGTCTGAGCCCTCTTCCACAGAAAGCTTCCTTGCTGGAATCTGATGTGAAAACAACCGAAAATCATCTTTTTCAAGCCATTTGATAGCATGACAACCAATCTCTTTTCTCCTAAATACTGTCTTGAATCCATCAACCTTCTCAAGGTAAGCCATGCTCAACCCATGTATCTCACTATGACTTGTTAAAAACACAACTATGTCATAGCATCTTTCATCCTTGATCAAAGCATTCCTCTCTTCATTGTCCAAAGCATTTTCCTTATAAAGTGCCCACACCAAACCCTTCTTTGGATAAATCCTATACACTTCTCTTGCCTCTCTTTCAGCATCTGCAACGTGAGAAAAAACATTCACAGAATTAATTGAAGTCTTCCTTGACACTTTAAACCTCCCACAAGAAATATGAAAACCCATCTTCTCCCAACAAATCAGCCTCTCATCTCCATTACTCTGAAGGTCTAACCAACTCATCTTCACCTCAAAAGGATTCACTGAAAGAACTTCATCAATCAAGCCATAAAGCCTTGGCATTCCATCATCATCATCGTAAATAGCCCACACCTGCCCTTTCTTAAAACTTTTCTCCACTCTGTCTTTATCAAAATCGTAGAAATCCGAATCTTCCACTGCCATTTTTCCCGAATCCCCACATTTGGAAGCTCTTTTATCTTTCTCGGTTTCTAAATTTCCACGCTTCTCCTTCTCCTTTTCTTTCACCCTCTCACTCTCCTTATTACCCTTTTCTCTCTGTTTTTCCTTCGACCTCATTGTCATCTTTTCCTCGTGCACCTTTAGCTTCGCTACCATTTGCATTTCCGCTAAAGTCATTGTTTCTTCTCCACTTTTCGTCCTCTTAGACTTTGATTTCGATTTTGTTTTCTCCAATACCTCAACCCCAGCAGCTCTTTCCTCTTTCTTATCCACAAATCTCGATCCTTTAACCTTCTTCGACCTCAATCTCTCAAAAACTCCATCACCACTACCCAAATCACCATTCAAATCAACACTTCTCGATCTTTGAACAGGCCTTGACCTCTCCAAAACCTCGCCAACACTGATCATTTTCCGCTTCAATTCCCTACTTCCTGACTTCTCACCACCCCTAGCCCTAATCCTAGCACTAGACCTAGTTCCAATTTTATCTTCTTCTTCACCACCCGAAACACTCTCCGAAACCTCCACAGCCTTAAAGCTCTTCTTACAACTCGGACACATCAAATTGTGCCCTAAATACTTCCTCTCAAACTGATGCAACAATCGGCAAGTCGAACAAGCAGTCCAAAACGCATCCACCGCTCCTCCTCCGCCTCCCTCCGCCATCGCCGCCGATTGCATTGCGATTCTTAGCTTCATATCATACTCCTTCCGCCGAATCTTATCGGATAACACACGAAACGCATTGCCGACGAGCTTAAACGCCTCTTCCGAGGCAGCGAAGGGGTTCTTGTCTGGATGCAGGGCTAGGGCGAGCCTCTTGTACTGTTTCTTGATGGTGTTGATGTGAGAGAAAGGCTCGATCTGGAGGACCTTGTACCAGTCCAGTGTTGCGCTTGCGGTGGCGGCGACGCGGAGGATTTTGAAGGCGGTGAGGGTTTCGGAGAGGCCATCGAGTTTGGGGAAGAGACGGTGAGCTCTCTTGGCGTATTTTAGGGCTGATTTGAGGTTGGAAGACTTGTATTTCTGCTCTGCTAGGGTTTTGAGGCGGTGGGCTTCTTCTCGCTCTTGCTGTGTCTTCTCATCCATTTTCGGACCTCGAGGAGAGAGAGAGAGGTGATGTTCTCGGTTGTGTTTGGCATTGTACTCACAACTTTCAATAATTTATAGAGTTAATAATTTTTTTTTAATATATTTATAGTATAATTTTTCAAAAATTAAAAACAATTAAAAAATTTCTTTCAAATGAAGAAATTCAAAATAAATTTGTGTGAACAATCATTTTAATAATATTTAGTGTGTTTGATTTAAGTTTTTTGAAAATTGAATTTTTTGATTTTCGTGTTTTTTTGTTTTTAGTAAATATTTTTAAAATTTTAAACGATTTTTTTACTTTTTTAAATACACCTTACTTAGATGTATCTAAAAAATAAAAAAAATTTGTGAAAAAATATTTTTAAAAATTAAGAAATATATAAAAATATAAAAAATGTATTGAATTCTTGTATTTTTTTGTATTTTTGGTATTTTTGGTATTTAGTGAATTTTTTTAAAAAAATTATAATTTTTTTACTTTTTAAATGTACTTATGTTAGGTGTGTCTAAAAAGTAAAAAAAATGCATAAAATATTAAAAAAATTCAGTAAAAATAAAAAAATACGAAAAATAAGAAAGTAAAATTTTCTAAAAACTATTTTTAGAAAATAGGAGCCAAGCAGGCTGATTTCTTTTTTTAATCTCTTTACTTTTCTTTCCTTACTTTTCCTTCTTTTCTCTATTTATATAAATTTGAGAATAAATTTTACATAAATCCAAGTATTTACCAAAATAAGAAAATATTATTTTAACTTTTAAATTATAACGTAAAAACATATTTCGTATTATTTTAGTTTGACCCCTAAACTTTTTAAAATTTGATCAACTTACCGTCTGTCGTTCGTTTTCATTTACAATCAAATAGAACTTGCTCACTTGACACTAAATTTCATTTGAAATTTTATTTTACTTCGCAAACTGTATCATGAAAATCATTTAGCCCTTCAAATATTAAAAAAATAAATTTAAATACTTAATTAATAACTTTTTATCTCAAAAATGGAAAATTAAATTTTAAATAAAAAAAATTAAGTATTAGTCATGTTGAGTATTTTTTAGATAGTAATTGAATTTTTTTAAAAAAATTTACCCACTCAATTTTGAAATTACTATTAGTCAATCAAATTTAGGACATATTACGACAATAGTCTCTATATTTTGATCCTTGTGCCATTTAGTCCTTATAATTTTAATTTGATCAATTTTAACTTTGAATTTATGACTTTGTCTCAATTTAATCTAATTAATTACAATTTTTTGTATTTTTTTTATAAAAATATGCATATAGGTGCCACGTGTCATATTTTTAAAAACAGAATTATAAATTTCCTTAGCTTAGTGAGTTAATTTTAACCAATTTAGTTATAATTTTCTTTAAAAAATATTAACGATATTATCAATTAGACCAAATTAACACAAAATCTAAAATTATTGGTCAAAATTGAGCTAATTGAAAGTAGAGGGACAATAATGGGTAAAATATAAGGACCCCTAGAGTAATTTTTCCTAAATTTTATTGAAATTAATTTGAAGAATAAACTAGTTACAATTGCACGCTCACACACATAGAGTCATCACAAAATTTTCGACTCAATTTAGTTTCTTTAGGATTGATTCAGAATAATTTGAGACTTAAAGAGATAATTCTAAATGATAACTTTTATATTTTTTTTACAAAGTATGTTATTTAAAATTTAATTTTTTCATTATTGAGATAAAATTATTTATTAAATATTTATATTTAATTTTTTTATATTTGGGGGCTAATTAATTTTTAAGATATAGTTTGTAGGGTAAAATAAAATTAGGTGTCATGTCAACAAGTTCCGTTTGATTAGAACAGATAGCAAGAGGTAAATTGATTAAATTTTAAAAATTTAATGTCCAAGTTAAAATAATACGAAATCTAAATGACAAATTAATTTTTGTACAATAATTTAGGATACAAAATGATAGTTCCTACAAGGTGCAAAAACATTTATGTCAAAATATTTCCCTTTATGATGCATTTGAATAATTTCACCATGGTCATCAAAGTGCCTGTTTGGTGCAGCTTAAAAGCTGCTTATTCAGCTTTCAGCTTAATTTAAGCTATTTTAATGTGTTTGGTTTAGCTTAACAATGCAGCTTATAACTTTTTGTAAATCAGAAATCAACTTATTCTTTGAGTGGGGCATGAGACGCTTAATTTATAAGTCAGAAATCAGCTTATGTTCATAGTTGTAATCTATAAACTGTTAAGACATAAGTTATAAGTATTTTCCCGCAACTCTACCAAACAGGAGCAAAGTAGCTTCTATTGACTGTCAGTTCACATTATATTATTATTATATATTTCTTACATATTTGCATATACGTGTGTAGATAATGGTTGTTCTTGGAAATTTGTTAAATTTGTCATTTATTTCCCCATGCCTTGAGTTGCAGTTGTTGACTTACCTCTACAAAAATAACTCATTTTCTCTTTCGGTTTTTTTTCTTTTCCCTTCCATCTTTGTGCCTCCTCAAGATCATTATATATAGAAATGTCACAAAAGAAATGAAGTAGAATGGAGAATGGAGAAGCTTGAGGGTGCAAACCTTCTATAATTATAATCTAATAAACGTCATAGCAAAATCTTAGGTATATCACTTTATCCCACGAGCTAAACGGGGTGTTTTGTTTTCTTTTTTGGAATACGTAACGTAAGTCATATTATAATAAAAAAAAACGAAAGATATATAATAAAATTTAATACACATATTTTATAGGAAAAATAAAAATAAATAAAAATAAATTATTCCTTTAAAAGAAACAAAACAAAGTCTATAAAAGACAAATATAGATATTCGTAACAAAAAGGATTTAAGGCTGTGTTTGGTAGAGATTTCGAAAATTAATTCCACTCTTATATTTGAATGCCATGTTTAGTTAGAGTTTTGAAATTATGATTTCAAATCGATTTCAAAATATATTTTGAAAACATGTTTGGTGAAGCATGTTGGAAATGGTAGGAAAATTCTGGGTAAAACCAGAATTTTTCCTCAAGTTTGGTCTATTTTTTAGGTGGGCCCCGAGTGTCGATTTACTCGGGTCAAAGTGGTAACGCATTTTATGCCGCGTTGTGATTCACGTGGTATATTTGGTTGCTCAAAACCATTACTGAGTGAATGGGAAATTGAAGCCAAAGTGTGCTCCATGGAAATGGAGTTTTGGTGAAAATTCCTTAAGGTTGTAAATTGGCTTGTCCCACATTGATTTGGTGGGAAGTTTTGAAAGGGTTTATAACTCTTAGGGTGAGATACTTGAGGTGTGCCCCAAGGGGTACCCAAGTGTTTTAGAGAGAGAGGTTATGGGCAAAATGGGCTAGACCCATTGGACCCAAAAATCACCACACGCGCGCCGTCCGGTCGGGCGGGTTGGGCCTGGGGTTGGGTTGGGCTTCTAATCTTTTTGGGCCAAAAACATTTGAATTTTATTTTATTTTTTATTAAAATAAAATCCATAATTCAAATTAAAATTGGTTTGGATTATTTGTTCATCCAAACAGGGCCCTTCCCGGTTTCAAACAGAAATAAACTGTTTTGGAATTAGTGAATTGGTTTGGATTTATCTTCCCGTAATTGCTAGCCTCCTAAAACCATTTTATTGACAACAAAGACCCAGAAACTAAATTCTTCCGGATGTCAGGTACGATGCAGTACGTAGTGTGTAAGGAGTCAGATTTCTTTTCCCTGATGCTCACTCCTTTCAAGTAAACCTCTTCTCCTTGGTCCAGCCACAGATAGAAGTAGACAAGGAACTTTCCCATGGAAAAGTTGTCTCACTCTTTATGCCAGCTCATTGTAGGTTAGTGGAAACATCACTTCGTTGACCGCGCACAGTATGTGAAACGAGTTGCTCCATTATCAAACCCACCACATCTTTTGGAGTTTCCAGACCAAGTTAGGCCTCAAACACAACCACGAAGAAAGGTGTGGCATGGTCATTCACTCCAGTCAAGAATGTAATCCAATTCTGTTTACAATTGGCCTGGATTGGTAGATCTTCTTACTTGTACTTTCCATATTTTTTTAGAGGTCTAAAGGCTTGCACCCTCAGAAGCTCGCATGATTCCAGTTTGATGCCACAAGTGTATATAGCATTTCCTTTGAACTCTTGCCTTACTTATCGCCTTGTTTAGGGCCATCTCCAGTTTTAAAACTTCCTCTTTTTGTTATGTGGTTATGGAACTTGTTCAACCCACATTTAGCCTTGGACTCAATGGATTTTTCCCATCCTTCTTTTCAAGCTTTCGGTTTCTTCTTTCCAATTCTTAATCTTACAATCCAATTCAATCCATGTCATCTCTTTGCGGTTTTATGTTTTAAATTAATTTTGGAAATCTTTCCAAGCGATGGTAAAAATCTTTCCACTAAGCAGCGACTTTGGAATGACTCGCTAAGAGCATACCTTCTGAATGCTAATTCATGCAAAATTATTTGAAAAACTTTGAACTTAGAATGATTACCGTTTGGGAGTCTTACCATAAACCAAAGTCCAGAAATTTACGACGACAAATTTCTTCGTGCCAGGCAATCTTCTGTCTTGTATTTCTTCTCCAAGAAATTCCCACAATCTTTTGCTGTTTTCAGAGGGACGTATACATTATATATAGGCATATTGTCAAGGGCCATTTAGGTAAGTTTCTAGCACAGGAAATTCTGAATGTTTCCATTGCAATCTACAACTACAGACCGGGCAACAAACTTGGGCCGAATCACTTTCACCCGTCTTTAGAGGGCTGAGTACTTCATGGAAACCGGGCCAATTAAAATTTAGTTAGAACAGAAGATATTCCCTGTGCCATCCAACTTCCTTGGCCAAAAGAGGTGCCGGTGTATGGCAGCATCTTGCTGCCTTAAATTCGGTTTTACCGGTTTCTCCTATGATTAATTGGTACAGAACATGGTTACTGAATAAGAGATACCGATGTAGATGTAAAAACAAATGGAGATGTACCACTTGCCAGATGCCCACGTCTTCAGTTTAGTAGCCATAATCTCATTACAAAAATCAAAAAATTAAAAC